ACTCAATAAAACAGCATGTGACCAGAATGCAGCCACTCATCTCAAAAACATTATTATATCAATTCTGTTTTAGAGCAATCTCATTGGCTGCATGTCCGTTTGATATTTCAATTTAAAATGTTGTTCTTGACTTTTTTAAAGTCCTGCTTTTATAGCACTGAGCTATAGCTGAGCTTCTAACTCCCACTACACCTCTGAGAATGACCTGTTAACTGTTACACACTTGCTCTCCTGCTTTCTTTTATGTTCTTGTTTGCGAAGCACTTTGTTATGGTTGTTTTGAAATCCCCTTTATAAATGAAGACACAATATTTATAGCATATATTAAATTGTTTCGACAAAAGAGAACCCTTGTTTCATTTCAATCACAGTGAGATCATTCTTAATGTATGTTGTCGTGACTGATTAGGGAAACAATGGGGATTTGGTTCAGGGGGTTGGATGGTTTTTAAGAACATGTGCTTTTGATTCTGACCAAATATTTTAAAACTTTATTTGATTCAAGTAATCTGAGACCAGTATGAGTGTAAAGACAACAACTTCATCTTTGTTTCAGAGCAAGTACTAGAAACAGTGTTTGGCAAGTTACATACAAATTGTGATTTGAAAAAACAACATTTTGTTTCACTTAAAAAAATAGAAGAAGTTATTATTAATGACGTATTATCTGGGTTCAACAGTCGTGCAACAAATGTGTTTATTCAAGGACTTTTTTATGTAACGTCAGCAGTAAATGATTAAACTCAAGAGTAGAGTTAGTAAAATATCACTGCCATCCGCTGCACCCTGGTCTTTGCAAACTCTTCACCAGCAGAATACAAATTGTGTTTGGCAAGCCGTCTACACAGCGTCTACAGCAGCTAATGTAATCTATGATACAATCTGGCCTGAGTGGGTTGGTAGTGCTGGTACAGCAGTTTTATACACACGCCTACACACACACACACACACACACACACACACACACACACAAGCAAAGAAACACATGCAAATGATAACATGGCTGTTTGTCAATCAGGTATGCTATGTGCCACACAGGGCCAAGAGCCAGAATGATTGCAGGTGATACTGGTGGTTTCCTGTCCCTGGTATACATATACACTTGCATGTGTATATGAGTGCCCATGCATCCATTTTCGCACACACTGTAAAGTCATTATCATGATTTGACAGCAGTGTGCAGAAGTTCACACTTCAAGAAAAAATGTAATCAATTTTGGACTGGTTCTTTAGAAAATACAGCCAACAATGGTGTGAAGAGGGTCATTGTTAATATTTCCATCTTATTTAGCAGGATATTATGAGTTGCTGAATTTATTCAGAGCACATGACTGAATATGAAAGATGAGATGGAGGGAGAAGCAGGACAATAGAGCTGCTTTTGATATTATTTCCCAGTCATCGGTATAAATGTAACCATGTCTTATTGTGCTTAATGTCACTTTATGTAATATTTAGCCTTAAAATTCAGTTATCTTGTTGTATTCCTATAATAGTGAACTTTTGTTTGCCTCCAAATGTTATAATACAGCCCAAGCCTTTTAATTTGTATACAAGTCGAATGTATAAACAGAATAAACTATATTTACTGTGCATATAGGACATGTTTTTAAACAGATTCTTTGCCTTTGAGAAATACATATGTTACATAAGATGGAGAGGGGGAATAGATGGTCTCATCCTAAAATCGTGAATAAATATGTGTGCATTATTTGACCAACTCAATATGGCTCGGGTGTGTTTGAACTGCTGTCACTGTTTAGGTATTTCAACACTGTGCCGTAAAACATTGTAGGGGCTTCATATGTAATATTTAACTATTGTAAGACCTAGATATGTATTTACAGCAACTCAAGGAAAAGCCTTATCAGGAAAAGTAAACTAGTTTGTGAACATTTGCTTTTGAATAGATAAGAATAGCAAATATCAATATAATATGATAGTCATCACCAATCATGGTGTCTGTGTTGCACCACCTCCCTGTTACAGTACACTGTGTTCTTTGTGCGGATAAATTGATAAGTGAATAAGTCAGTAATGTTCATTGTCAGGGTCTTGTAAAGCACTGACCCCTGTCAGCCAGCACGTTGAATAAGAATGAGTCAGCTCTTTGCCGCCACAGATGTGCTAATGCACCATAACAGCCAGGGGATTTACAGTATGCCTCCAAAAAAAAGCCAAACTGGGCTTCTATGCAAAAAACACGCTCCTCTCATGTTCTAATTCACTCATAAGACCATAACATGAAAATTGTTTGGGCAATGTTCAGTGAGCACACTTCATTTTCAATTACTTTTGTTTCAATAATTGTATAAAAATGTTATATGTACTGTATAGCACCTTTAATGCATGTAGCTCAGTGTTTTACAATTTAAAAACTAAATAAAAACAGGTAACATAATAAAATACTGAAAACATATAGATATATAAGCGTGAGATATACAAGTGCTTTGCAAAAAAGCGAGCCATTTACAATTTGTAAAATTACATTTTAAAGGCATAAAAAGACATTTAAACTAGGTAAAACCAAAGTTTTAAAGGGCATAAAAGGCCATGCACATAAATAAGTGCCGCTAGAAAAAAGGTTGGTTAAAGAGTTTTAAGTGGTATAACATTTCCAAAAGAGCTAGGCTCTCGAATATATCTTGGTAGACTGTAACAGTTTGCGAGCACTGATGAAAAAAGCTAAATCTCCAGTTTGTATTGAAAGAATTAAGTATTAGCCATTGCTATGTCATTTAATACCACTGTGTTTTGCACAGAGATATTAATCCATTGCTACATGCACATACATTGGTGCACCACCATTGCTTCCTTACAGTATATAAACTAGTCCAACCAGTCACTTTTCATAACAGAGCGGCTCCAGTGATGTAGCGTCCCCAAGCAGAAAGCAGGGTTAAAGGACCATAGATCTTAGAAGGCCTCTCTGCATATTTAAAACTGACAGCACTGTGGTCCGACAGACCACACACACAGTTCACGTCTGTGCTGCTTTAAGCCAAGGACTCAGAACATCACAGCATGTACATTTGGCCGATTATGCATGAAAATGTCTCTATATTTTTAAACCAATGAGCTATTGAACTGTCAAAATCAATGACTATATTTTTTCATTAATATGATAAAGCCTACAGCTTGTGTCATACATTGTTTTTGATTTAGAAAAAGGCATGCAAAAGAGGTATTAACAGATAAATATCCTTACACTGTATGTTGCCATGTTAGCAAAGCGCTACCTGGCTGTATCTGCTACCTCTGTCCCGAGCGAGAGGGTGTTCTCCACAGCAGGAGACATTGTTAGTGCCAGCAGATCTGCCCTTTCGGCAAGCAATTTGTGGACAAGTTAATTTTTCTTTAAAAAAACATGAAAATACAATGACAAGCAAGTCATAATGTCAAACTGGCTGCTCAGGTACTAGTACAGTACAGTTCAAATACAGATTATTTCAGTTCATCGAAATGCTGCACCTTAATGTTTATTTTATTATATTTTGTATTTATTTGAGTGAATACATTATTCACAGTTTAATAATAATAAAAAAAAAAATATATATATATGTTATGTTTTGTGATAATTTTTTCTGCTGTACCGAAAACATACCAAACCGAACCGTGACCTAAAAGCCGAGGTACGTACCGAACCGAAATGTTTGTGAACCGTTACACCCCTAGTAGATTGTGTTACAGAGACATGAATCTTTATTAAAAAAAAACATTAATTTGAAGACAAGACATGACATGTGTCTTCTACTTTAAGACAAACTCTTTTTTTTTAGGCTGTTTAGACAATATTAACAAATTGCTGTAACGGTACGTCCACACGGTTCCGTTGCATGCTTCAACGGAGACGCTTCCCATTCACTTTGAATGGGGTGACGTCAAGCTTTGCAGAACTGCATTGTGGTTCCGTCGCTTTGCCTCCGTTGCTCGCTTCGAACGTTGAGAAAAGTTCCACTTTTCAAGCGTTGACGGAAGCGCCAGCCAATCAAATCATATGCCAGTACAAACGCTAGCCAATCAAACTGCGTGCTTGTGTGTCCGGGGCGGGAGATTCATGTGATTGGTCGCGTGCCAGACACGCCCACCGGCAAGCTTCAACGTGACGGAACCGTGTGGACGATACGTAAGACGATTTCTAAAGGAGGTGAAAAGTCTCTGAAATATTACACTACTATTGATTATAATCATTAAATAAATGCTATTTATAGTATCTCATTACATCCTGTTCGGGCTCTTTAGGCAAAGGACAGGTGTGTCTTTGAAACCTGGAGGCTGTTGTAATTAAAACGTCTGACATGGATCATGTAGAATAGCTTATGAATAATAGTTGAGACGGATAATTTTAAAGCCACAACCCCACTCACAAAAAGAGTGCTCAGATTCTGGCTTTGTGTAGTGAGACATAAATTAATATATCAAACGCTTAATTTGCTTTGCAGAGACAATTCAGTTACATTGGCTACTCCAGCCAACATAAAGCAAGTCGTGACTGTTTAAAAATGGTAACAACAGGAAGCCCACGCAGCGGACCACCCACCACTGCAGATACAGATTTGGATCAGGATTGTCTGGCAAGTGTCGTAACTGTGAATCTGTTCTTAAAGGAGAATGTTTAGCCTGAGCTGCACTATAATGAAGATCAGTGCACCAAAAGGGAATTTCCTTTGCAGCATACTAAAAGCTGATAATCACAAGGCCAGCCATGCAGTTGAAGTTGGATTCGCTGCAGCACAAACAGGGTGAAGGCAGAGTTAATGGAGTTTAGAATCGACTCAGATGTAATGGCAGCAGGGGATAGGGTGTGAATGTGTGTGCAATTAGAGAGTCAAGTTTTTCAACAAAAAAGAGCAAAGGGTTGAATTTGGACCTCATTCACCCTCATCCTTGTCTACCTGACACACTCTAACACACAAGAACATATACACACAACAACCAATCCAAGTACAACACCCTGCATTTTACAACCAGACTGAGTGTATGGTGGTTGTGAAGCCTACCTGTGACCTGCAGCTTGTCGTCAGTGACCTCACACTTGAGGAACAGACGGCCCCTCCTTTCGGTGTGATCGGTTCCACACATGCTGGGCACGTTCATCACACACTGATTATGGACATTCATATCGCAGGCTGGAGGGATAGAGAAGAGGAGACAAATAAACATTATTGAATACATCTTAATATACATAAATATTACCGTTATGGACAAACAAAACCAAACTGATATATATATATATATATATATATATATAAATTGACAAATAATGTTATGCACTTGAATGAAGATTCACAATGTAAATATCTGTATTGAATCAAACATAATATCAAACATCTCGCAATAGTTTTATTGAACATATTTGTTTTTGTGTTTGTTTGATATTTGTATTTTCTATTCGATATTCATCATCTTGACTTTTGTAGTACTAAGCTTGTTTGTTTTTTGCATTTCCTTGTATATGTTTAAAATATATACCAAAAAGGAAGGCAATATCTTGTAAATGAAAATCCTATCAGCAATAAACCCTATATCATGATTCTGATAAAAGCTATGTCTGCCACCCTATGGCTTGATGTACAAATGCAGTAAGCTGCTTAAAAATCCTCGAGATTTGCTTTACCTGCAGTATATAAAGACATATTTAAAATGTTATTCCATGTATCATACATTTTTGGCACAATATTAAAGGTTGTTATCTTTCTTGCAAAGCTGTGTGAAAAAAGAGATAACGGGGTTATCGTTGGGATTTAGCCCTGTGATGTCAGGCCGTTATGGTATATGTGTCGGCTGAACCAGGTAAATGCATACTATATTTCTAAAAAGGGTATGCTTCTACATTATTCTCTATAAGAACTATGTATTTTCTGTGTATCACTGTAACAGTCCTGTGGCTCACCAGTGCTTAAAAATACTACAGTGCGATCTTATTGTGGTGTGATTAATGGTGCAATTCATCTGCCAAAAGAATTTGCCGTTCCACATCTCTATTTATGTACACCCTGGAGCCATCATTAGGCATTAACATAGACTGTGTAACTGGTGGTCTGTAGCAGGTGGAGGATGATGTATGTAGGAGCTCGTAAGGCATTCAGACTAATCGACTAAAACCAGATTAAAAAGGGAAGGAAAGTGAGGAAGGGATATTAATAAAGGCTTGGCAAAGCTACTATTAACAGGCCTATTCAGGGTGCAGGGACATAGCTGCAGACTGGAAATAGACAAAGTGAGATTTTAATGAGTGAAAGTCAAGAAGGAGGGGAAACAGAAAGGACCATTATCTTCACTGAAGAGGAACAACATGTTTTTTTCACTGATGATGAGTGGCTACAAAAAGAGAACATAATCTGTAGAGCCACTTACAGTATAGTAAACCATTACTTTTCGATATATGCTATGCCTCATTGACCCTAAACAGAACAGTGCTGGTTTCATTTCCCTTCGGAAGCGTTCAAGTGTCAACTTAGGCCCTACAGTACTTTACAAATTATGAGCTATCACTAATAAAATCTGTATAGAAAGAATGCTGGATTTTAAACCAGGTAAGGTAAAACATAAAGTACTCACAGTCACACTTCATGCCCTGGTGGATAAGGCCATAGAGCAGGGAGCCACAGTGGTCACAGAAGGTGGGGCTCCCATAGGTGTGGATCTTGAACTTGTGCTTCGTTCTGGGATCCTGGAAGAATATAAAGACAAAAAAGAGCCATAAAAAGCCTGAAGTGACGACATGATTGAAGAAGTAAAGCAATTACCCATCAGTTAGTTACAGCTCCAACAGCTCATGCTATTTATCTACGTTAATTACAGGCTATGGAAGTCCTGAGAGGCAAATTCTAAGGTCTGATCTAAATGGTTTCCTCTCTGGTGTTAATATCTTAAAGAGACAATATGTAGGATTCAACGCCATCTACAACTGCGGTTGCTGACAGACTCAATCATCTTCTGCATAGCCCTCCATTTACAAGACTGCAATAACAAGCCAGCGAGTGCAAAGCAACGGTAGCACAATGGTGTCTTTCAGAACATTCACCTCACTCCTTGGCCATTCTTACCAGAATGCTACTTCAGTAGTTATGAAATTCAGGTGGCAGATGGCCATGATTACAACAGTTTTAAAAGGATGTCTCACTGCAGCGGCCTTCAACACAAAAGGCTTTCTAGAGCAAGAGTTTTCTTTGTCCGTCCTGCACTGCTGAAGAAACATGGCAGACTTTGTGAGGGAGATAGGAAGAGCTGATTCTAAAGTAATGGAAACGCACATATAACATATTTGTTAAGGTGAACATACAGCAAAGCAAAGGTAAGGGTAGTGTATTTCATTTTCTTTCTCAAGCCCTTAATCTTTTAATTACCCACACATGTCTAACTAATTACACAGCTACTCAAATCAAAGTTCAAATCAACCTGCGGCTTCAAAGGTTATTGTGCGTCACGGAAATTCATTAATGATGCCAACTGACCGCAATTACAACTTCTCGTCTTTTTTTTTAAAGAGTTAGTCATTCATGAGTTACATTGTGTTGGTGTCTCATTGATCACATGAGAATGGAGTTGTTTTAACTAAATGGGCTTCAATTCAAGAGCACCAACAAATGAAATTAAAGGTAATTAATTACATGATTCATCTAATTTACTCAAAATAAATCTATGACGTATTCCACATTACCCGGACAATTATATTCTGAAATATTATCAGTTATTTCCCCACTGCAAAGACATTGCTTTTTAATTTCCACGACTCAATAGCAACTGTCAAAAACTGCATTATACTATATAATAATGTGTGTGCTGGACAAATAATAAAGTGCCACCGACCTCATGTATGGTTTTCCTTTTGGCCATCCAGTAAATGTTTTTTGCACTTATGTGTAAATCTAGTCATCAAAGTCATTGGAGCTTTTCATTCATCATTGGCTTCTATGTTATTGCGGTTCATTGCCCCAGGCTCTCTTTTGATAGTCATTGTGAAAAAAACATTAGAGTTTATTGCACAGAGCTCTGAACAAGTGTAACTGGGTACTAAAGTGGCTGTTTGCACAAAGCTGAATAATGTCTTTGTAAGGACAACACACCTTTATTTGACTCCTGCTATGTAACACTGTTTACATGCAGGATAAAAGTCCAGTGCTCCATAATTGGTTTTATTTTCTGTTGTTCTGACAAGATATCTATTTGCATGTTTACGTAATAAGTAGAGCAAAACGTATCACCTCCTGTAATCTACCACCAAATAAAATGCCTTCAAAAATATGTGAGAATAGTTATTGGCGAGGACGGTTCATATTTTATCACCAATTCTCCAAAAGTGTTAAATGTGTTTTGATTGTGGTTACGTGAGCATTTTAAAGGATGTAAAATAGGCTAAAACCTCTTATTTCAGATTTTTACTGTCACACAGATCACTATCATTCTTTAAACTTTGAGTCACTTTCTTTTAAAATTCGTTTTTAGTTAGATCATTTAAGTCCTGTTGTTAACTTGTCGTTGCTGATCTGAAAAATGATATGATCAAAGACAACCTTGTTCAGTCTCATTTAATTTTGTGATCTGTGGCACACCAACTTTCTGGTACTTTTACTGACGCTTACAATCACACACTAACAAAACAACCTATCTCTTCTGTTGGCACTTGTTATTCCAGAGAATTTGCATGGGCGGCTTCCTTTTCTAGTTTGAAGCAAATGCAGAGCCCTTCTTTTTATCAGGTACTCATCACCATTGGCTGGGGCTTCATCCATCATACATTTAGACAATATGGGATCCAATATGAATAAAAGAGTAACATTTCCATACAACCAGGCAGAGATGAAGGATAAACACGAGTTATGAGAATTGAAATATTCAACTCCCCAGCAGAAAGTGTTTTGGTTGGTGAGATAAGACATTTATTGAATTTGCAATTCAATAGCATCTGTGCCTTAAGTAAATATCTCTGGGTTCAAAGACAAAACAAATGTTATGTGATCTGTAGCAAACAGAACCAGTTATTGCCTGTTTTATTATGTATTCTAATGCAAACGTACAGCATGTGTATACCTGAAGTATGGTGAATGGGACTGTAATTAAATTGAAGTTCCTCTTGAAGGTAAGTGTCACAACACAGATCGATGACAGTGCCCCAGCATTTACAGTATTTTAAAATATACACTGTGAAGTAAGGCCCCTGACATGCATTAATTCATCTCGTGCACTCAACCTGCGGCTTATGAAGCAATCTCCTCTGAAAACTGGAGGGCTGCCACTTTTCCAAGCACAGAACAAAGAGCTTCCCTGTTCATTCTCAAATTGTGCTGTACTGTAAATCTTTCTCAGAGTTGGAATCTGTTTAAGTGGATTTGCATTTGGAACATTAACCAGGCTAGTCCATTTTTCAAATTCACTCCATCTATTTGAAAGAACACCTGTCTTTCTTTCAGTTTCATTCTACCGGGAAACGAGAAACACTTTTCTTCTGTATGTTGAGCAATAAAATAAGACATGAATAAGAAGAGCTTGACCCAGGATAAATAAATCTTTAATAAGGTGAGCAACATGGCATATATCTCAGTGAGGACTGACAGTATTACACTATGTGGCGCCACAATAATCAATGTTGCTGTTCCAGTCAGCTTGACACTGGTCTGTAGTCTTAAGGCCGCGACACACCAACCTGAGACCAAAGAACGCGTACCGAAGGCGTCCCGACTTTTACGTCCGCTACGTCGCCTGCGTCGGCTACGCCGCCCGCCTACGAACACACCGCAAAGACTTCAGTTGACGAGTAGCAATAACTGTCCTTACCAGCAGGCAGCGGTAGTGTGTATTCGTCATTCAAAAGAGGCAACAACCGGAAGACAGACTATACACCGAGAGAAGAAGAACAGGCTGCGCGATATAAACAAACAACGAATAGTGTCTGGGTTCCATTTTCACTCTCTCTCGTCGATCGAAAACATGTAAACATAAAAAAGAAACTCTTGCGTCCGGGTGAGATGAACATGAAAACAACTGTCTGTGTGTGCTTTCTTAAACGTTTGTTTTGGTCCCTCACTTCCGCTTCACTTCTCATGCACTGACTCGCTAAGCTGAACAGCCAATCAGAGTGATTTCTTTGTCCCGACTTTCTCTGACCTGAGGTGTGAAAATGTGCCGTAAAGAGACGACGGTGCGGGACCAAATTGGGTAGGTGTGTCAGGGCCATTGGGTGTCAGGGCCTTTATGCAACAGAGCAGTCTACAGAGGCTTTAAAACTGTATAGGACAAAGGGAAAGGCTTCCTTTGTTTGTCTTTCAGCCATCCACACATTTATATGAAGGCCTGAACTGAACAGAGCTGAACAACTTCCAGTTACCACAAACACACTGTTGGACACTAGGGAAATAAACGCAGCTTGCAGTGGCATCTACCTAAAATTGAAAAAAGAGAGAAGATGACTAAAATACAGAAAATCTCTGCCCTGATTAAGTAATCACTGAATCATCACACTTCATTAACCACAACACAAACCATCTGTGGAAATGTTCATTTAATGCTTAAGGACACTGAAAGCATCCTTTTTATGCCTATGAATATATCAGAAATTTTTAAATTAGCAACACTTTATTTCAGATCACATATATTAATGTTTATCCTGATACTAACGTTTAATAGCAGGACTTAAAGTGTTTTATTCAAAGAAATCAAGTTTAACATTTCAAAAACTCAATCTCCCAGTAAGCATGTCTCCACCTTTAGGTCTTCTGCATTAGTAGTAGGCTAAGATGCTGATGGTCGGCTTATCTAAGATATCCATCATCTTAAGAGCATTTAAGGGATCGACCGATATGGCTTTTTCAAGGCCGATACCGATTATTAGTAATCAAGGAGACCGATAACCGATATTTGGAACCGATATACATTTGCAGTCAAATCTGAAAATCTTGGTCAAAATGTAGAATAACACAAACTCCAACACAACTTCTTTGAAATGCATTTAAGCATATATTATGTTTAATGAACTTTTAAACATCTTACAACTGGTTTCTTCTCTGTGCCCTTTTCTTTAGTGCAGCCATCTGCAATGAGTTAGAGAGAAACAAGAAGTGGGGCTGCAGGCCAACATGCTTATCTAACAATAATGCTTAATTTATTATATCAAAACAATGCCTGTCTATCTAGCATAAAATCACAATAAGCTGCTAGCAACTGCAAAACACTAGTGCTAGCTAACGTTTTGCAAACTATTAAAAGTGAGGCTATTACGGTAGACCTAACGTTAGTCTAGTAGCCTCACTTCTAATATTTTGCTAAACATTTGCTAGATACTTGTTGGCCAGCTAATGAGCTTCACATATCAACCTGAAAAACTATAGGTTACTTACGTAACCCCAGTTCTCAGAGTAACATGAAGTGAGATGTCTCACTATGGGATGCGCCTCAACGCGTATGCAAACAGAAGCATCAATCTCATTACGCCAATCCTGATTGGCTGGTGATCTTGACGTCAACGTCAGGGAATTCACCCACCCTTTAAGTAGCTTGCGCTACGACGCAGCGTCATTCAAAATAAGCACCTCTTCTCGCTTCGCCTTAGCAAGAAGGGCCGTCTGGTGAGACATCTCACTTCATGTTACTCTGAGAACTGGGGTTACGTAAGTAACCTATAGTTCTCATTCATAACACTCCGTTCGATGTCTCACTATGGGATATTGAAACTCC